GCAGTGGCAAGGAGCGGCACAGCGGCAGCGGCAGTGAGTGACAACAGCAGGGAGCGGCAGCGGCAGCGGCAGCAGCAGGGAGGAGCAGCGGCAGGAGCCATGGCCAGGCGCCAACATTTGGAAGGAGCAGGCAGTAATGTCAAAAGTCCGCAAGTTTGATGACAAGTTCTATGATATCGAGCTTCTCCCAAAGGTGGGACTTTGCCTGACTGATCGACACAGCTACCATGTCAAACGAGAGAAAATGGATCGAGTTTGGGACATGGCGCAAGTGGATCAAGAGACGGAGCGTCTTTGCGCACGAGACAAGGACTTAACCGGCTACAAAGTTGCATGGTTATGGCTCAATACATTTGCAACGCTGAAGGACAGATTCACCGTCGAGTTTTCCAGAGCAACAACTATACCAATGGGCAAGTGAGTATTAGCTTTGCTCGGGCATTTGCAGTAAAGCTCACAAGAGATCAAGTGAATTGGTACTCCTATGCAGTTTCTAGAGCGACTAACCTGAAGAAGATGCAAGAGAAAAGAGCAAGGAAGAAGTAGTAGCCGGTCCGCAAAAGCCCACGAAAAGCAGTGACAAGGTTGAAACTTAGCTCCGACAATGATGATGACGGCGAACGCTGAGCCTCAACCTAAAACTCGGACAAGTGACAGTGGTAAAAATGGTGATAATTGGTACCAAAACCTAGGCTAAACCTAGAAGCATCTCTAATGCAACCACTCTTCACTATACTGTTGGTTCTGTTCAACAATCTAAGATTTCATATTCTATGGTGGTCCTTAGTAGGTGGGAGAAGTTACTACGAGCAAAGTACAAAGCTTTTTGTGCTGTTAGCTCAACATTGAAGAAGGCTTTTGACGTTGAGGACAAGAAGTAAGTATCAGTACGAAACTACCACCTCAGCATTGTCAACATGCAACTGTTTTGCACCACACAAGCTTGAATATGGATGCGTTTTCCATCTGTGAACTACACTCTTGATCTTTTTAAATTGGTTGCAATGATAATCCTGATTGTTTGTTGTTTCTTGAGCTACAACAAAATGCTCAATGTAATGAGCATATGAAACGAGTGAACAAGGCCAAGTTGGTGCAGCTAGATAGTGAACAGGATATTCTACTGCAACATATAATTGAGCACTTGACACAACTTTCTGGAGACAAGGTGAAAATTGCTCTTCCACGCAGCAAAAACTTCAAAAAGTCACGGGCAGTGATCTTACAACAAAAGCAGAAGTACGAATTTTTGTTGGAAACCTTGAACGAGACGAGGACAAGCTGTTAAGGAATGCCAAACTTTCAAAGGAGAAATCTTGGGATCTCTACTCCAGTGTATGAAGATCTTTTGAGGCTCACTTTCGTGATTTTTCTGCAGTTGAGAGCTCGTTGAAAGCTGGAGAACTCCAATATTCAAAGGCAACACCAGTGACAGCACTTATCAATGGTGTTCTATCAACAACAACTACAACTTGCCTCGTGGAATATGGCAAATACAACTTTTGTAAAGAACACATACTTGACAGAAGAAGTACAATCTTAACACCATGTAAATGTAAGTATTTTCTTTTTTCTTAAATTTCTACATGCTAATAACAGGTGTGTACCGCCCCTTTTGCTTTGTTGCTGCGTTTGGCAAAGGAAACATATTTTTCATTGTTTTTTTCACACTACTACATTTGGTTTGTGGAGTATTGACTCTTTCAAGCTATCTCATTCGAGTATTGACTATTTCAAGCTATCTCATTGAAGCTATCTCAGCAAATCCATTGTGCTAGAAAATGCTATCTATAAATTTAAAGATAGGAAAAGAGGTGGGATTGTAAACACACTATTTTAAAAAAATCAAATCCAACTTGGAGGAAAGTAACAAAATGCCATAAAAACATTCTATAAGTTTTTAGCAAACCATTGGACCATACTCTGTGTTGCGTTTAGAACACCACCTCACTTTATACTCGTACCTCAGTTTGTACTCATGCCAAAGACACAACAAAGTCAGGGACTTCCTCGTACTGATACGGCAGCATGTTCTTGATCCACTCGGCTTCAATATCCTCTGCATCTTTAAGGGGATCCGGCCTGGTTACAAGTATGTTCTTGAGCAAGCCCCTCACCTCCATGGACAGGTAACCGTAGTTGCCATCAAGGCCATAGCATGTCAGCTGGAGATATCTCTTATCCTCCCGATCCCACAGAATCCAAGAGTTTGGGGCAGCAACTGCTGGCTCCCGCATTGACATGAGGACAATAACCATGGGTATCCTAGTGCCAATTTTGAGCTTGGTGAACTCAGACTTGAGGAACTCCAATGACGGTCCCTCCCACCAGCCCTTGTGCGACTGATTCTTCACGGACACAATGCAGCAAGTCATCCCCTGAGGAGTCCAGATAGGAAGAATGAGATCGGCACCGGGCATATTGTTGTCCGCTTGATACATCATGGCAAGACCTCCTGCGAAGCATCGGCACAGCAATGCAGTATCTGGGACTTTTCCCACCACCACAAAAGAATGGAAGAACAGGAGACCACCTGCGGGCAGCCCGGACACAACTTTGCTGAACGCCTCCTTCGTAGTTATGTCCCGCTTATTGTTCACAAGCAGTGTCCGAAAGAAGTCCCGCACTTTGATCGGTCGAAGGTACCAGCCACCTGATTGCTTTGCCTTGGCCAAGTCCCAAACCGCAGCAGCCAAGATAAACTTGGCCACAAACTCGCCACGGGGTCCCCCAGTGGCGTAGCCAGCCAAGCATGCCGCCTCCATATGCATCAGAGCATTTTGCTTCACTTTTTCGGACCTGAGAAGCGCAGCGGCTGCCTCTGAGAGGATGGGCTCTGCCGGCAGCGCAACAAAAACCCGCGACCTGTCTCTCGTCACCCGTAACACGAGGTTCATATGCGACGCTGCCAATTTCTCAGCCAGCGGGCAGCGAGGACACACCTGCAGGCCTGTTGCAGCAGCAAGCAATGCCATCGCTTGGCTCTCTGTCATCTTCCCGTCCTTGGCGAACTCGTCGCTGATTTCACCACCCATGAGCTTCTGCTGAGCCCACGGTAACAACTTGGTCCTCAAAACCACTTCACTCTGTCCTTCCCGAGCCATTCTGGCGGCCCACACCGGCCTTCCATACTTCATCCAGGTTGATGGAGCGCTATACTCGACAACGCTGAGTCCCGGCTTGGGCATGTTTAGTTGCAGTGTTGGCAAGTAGTAGATCGGAGGCAGCAAGGAGATCCCGATCTTCAAGGCCCTGCTACTGTCCTCGTCGCTCTTTCTCGGCAAAAGGTTGCTCACTTTCGCAGTTGTATCCAGCAGGAGCGCAAAGTAGGCAGTCCACGCGAAAAAAACTCTGAGCGCCCGGCGGAGTTGAGAGAATGGGGTGTCTGATGGCAGAGTCAGACCCCTGGCCTCGTCAAACACGAATATGACTCGAAGATTTACCAATTCGCCCTGGCTGTCCGAATCCATCCTGTCCATGTCCATGTCTTCATCGTCGTGATCACCATCCAAGAGCTCTTGCACCCGCTCCAATGCATCGTTCATAATCTCACCATTCACAAGATCCCTGTCACGCTTGTCCTCTTCATAACCCTTTGCTGGATGTGAAGCAATGAGCTCTTCCCACTTCTCCCTCACTGCTTGGGCGATGCCGGAATTGCTCCCAGGTAACTGCCTGTCCTTCCACTCCACGGCCGAAGTTCCTTTCTCCAATTCCACGGCCAGGACTAGGAGCCAAGCATTCAAGTAGAGCACCATCTCCAGCTCGGTGAAGCTCTCGGCGAGCCTGTCCGCGAGGAACTCCGTCCGTGGCGGATAAGCCGACGAGTCCTTGCCCGCCAGGCTGCAGTAGCAAATATAGACCCCCAGTGTGGACATCTCCAGCACACACCTCGTCTTGCCGACACAAGAAGATTGCACGAAGGGAGAGTAGGGCGAGTAGTGCATGCTTATGTTGGCATCTTCGCGAAGCTTTAGAACTTGCCGGTAAACCTGCCGGTGTGCATCGCCCACGAAATCCACACTGAAGCATTCACCTGCTAGCGCCGCCTCGACCCCTGCCGCCCGATCCACCTCCATCCGATCCATAAAGGTTTTAATTTTTTTTAGGGTATATGGTGTGGCGCCAATGACAGCAATGTTGCCCTAACATTTCGATTTTTATTGACGTAGTTCTCCGGCAAGCTCTTGCTGTATTGTGTCCGTGGAGAACCAGTCGGACAAGTGCCGGTGGGAGGGACTGGCATTCGAAGCCCGGCATTGGAAGTGCTCAAGGTGCTCGAGCAAAATCTTGGCTTGTGTGGGACAAAGAGCATGAGAATTTTCTCCAGGCCATTATGGTTGCCATGTTGAGGGGGCTAACACTCAATGTGTTATAGCTATGAGAAGGCAAAGCTCTACAGATGTGAAATGAATATAATGCCAATCCTTTTCATATAGTCATAAGAAGGAGAAAATATTCTATCAAGGAATATTCTAGGAAGTGGAATATCTTAAGCATCTATGCAATAGAAGATGGCATGTGTTCATAGGCTACGTTAAACACAATAAAAATCTTTTTATTGTGTTTTATGATTAGTGCTTTTCTAACTTCCTTCTTTTGCTTTGGATTGTTATCTCTAAAGTAGATGGGGTGTTCTTTTTTAAAGAAATAAACTGAGGTAACTAAATCAGTTAAATTTAAGTAATCAAACTCCTCTTCAAGATTTACAGATGTTGATCATTTCTTAAACAAACGACAACAATATTAGAAGTATAATGGTGAGTTTTTGGAAAATTTATATAATCTATTACTTTACCTAGACTTGCCTTTTCAGTTTCACATATAAATAATGTTTTGGTGATACTATGGTTTTTATAAAATTATTAAAAGAAAAAGTTTGCAAAATAACACTTAGTACATTTTTCTATTAGGGCTACTTTCAAAACCAAAGAGAGAGAACCGGCTACAGACGGTAGTAGCAACCGGCTGCAACCGGTAACTCCAACGTTCCAATTTATGGGAGCTTGAAGAAGAGCATTGTATGCGCGAAGCGAGCGAGCGATACCACGAGAAGAGGGAGGAAATTTTTTCGATCTGTGCGACGGAAATCGCGTGGCCGTGAGGAATTTCAAGCAGCGCCATCGAATTTCGAGGTAGGTTTTCTAGGGATCGAGCGCTCCGGGGGAGTTCTTCGCTTCCTCCCTCCCGGGAATGCGTGCGGCTAGAAATGCCTGTGACGCGCTCACAGTCTGCACTGGGAAAGACGCCACTGGGATGCAAGCTGAGCAATGCCGCCGGATTCGTGGAAGAGAAGCAGCGAAATCTCGCTCCACAGTCGGTTCTCAAGGAGAACGCTGAGCCGCCGCAAGAAAATTTCCAGAATTCCTCGCAGCAGCAGCAGCAGCAGCAGCCACTCAAGACTAGCCATGCCAGTGTGAGTCTCTTCACGCCCCGGGTCATGACTCGATCATCGTCTAGGCAGGCTCAAGCACAGGTGGTCCCGATGGATATAGAGGATGATAGCGACGAAATCAGCAAGATGCTACTGCGATGCTCGTCCAAGGGAAGGGTCCAGCACGAAAGCTTTTTGGCTTGTCCACCACCAGTTTCCTCCACTGTGGTGTACAGCACTCCTCCTCCTTCGTGTGGAAACCGGAACATCAACGATCGGCCCGTGCTAACAGGCATCGAGTTTGGGTGTAAGAAGACGAGCTCGCCGCAGGGTCAAGGGGAGAGCACCACCCCCAGGTCGGGATCCAGGCGCAGGGACTTGAGATCACATTTTCTTCGAGGGAAATGCGATGATCCTGAAGAAGTTGGCAGGATAATGGTCTACGTTCGGCTCCGTCCACTGTCCAAGAAGGAAAAGGATGCTGGTGCTCGAAGTTCTGTGCGTGTTGCTGACAAGAAGGATATCTTTCTCACCGAGATGCAACTGGAAACGGATTATTTGCGGCTCAAGCGCGTCCGAGGCCGCCATTTTGTGTTTGATGCCGTGTTTCACGAGAACACTGGGCAGCAAGAGGTCTATGATACCAGGTATGCTCGGTGCTTTTGTTTCTAGTTTGCCGTTTTAAGTCGCTGTTTGGTTTCCAGTACTGCTGATCTCGTAGAGGCAGTTCTTCAAGGCAAAAACGCGTCAGTCTTTTGCTACGGGGCAACAGGGGCCGGAAAGACGTACACCATGCTGGGAACCGTAAGTCAGCCCGGCGTCATGGTTTTGGCACTTAAGGACCTCTTTTCCAAGCTCAAGGACCGAAGTAAAGACGGTGATTATTTAGTTAGCTTATCTTACTTGGAGGTCTACAACGAGACTGTGGTGGATTTGCTATCGCCTGGACGGCCACTGATTATACGAGAGGACAACAAGGTCTGTGTCAGTTTGGTTTTTTAATTGTCGATTCATGCTCTCGTTGTACAGGGAATAACTGCGGCGGGGCTCACTCACTATCAAGCATTTTCCGCGGAAGAGGTGAGCAATTTCTGTAACCAGATGAGTTGCATTTCATGACTCTCCGTTGTATGCGTCCAGGTCATGCTGTTGCTTCAAAGAGGAAACCAGCACAGAACAACGGAGCCGACTCGGATCAATGAAACATCATCTCGATCTCACGCTATCTTGCAGGTTTATATTACTTTACTTTTCCATTTTGTCAGCACGTAATTCAAACAAGCTACAGGTTACTGCAGAGTACAAAGTGAGAATGGAGACCAGTACCATTACACGGATAGGAAAGCTTTCGCTTATTGACCTTGCAGGATCGGAAAGAGCACTGGCTACCGACCAGCGAAGTTTAAGGTCTATAGAGGGGGCGAATATCAACAAATCCTTGCTTGCACTAAGCAGATGTATCAAAGCTTTGGTCGAGGGTGACAAGCATGTTCCTTTTAGAAACTCCAAGCTTACTCAGCTACTAAAGGTACACAAGTTGAAATTGTTTCCTATTTCTAACCGTGCGATAATAGGACTCTCTGGGAGGAGCATGCCAAACTGCCATGATAGCAAACATCACGCCAAGCCATGTCTCTTTTGGTGAGACTCAAAACACACTTCACTGGGCTGACAAAGCCAAAGAAATTCGAACAAAGGTAATGACCTGCATCTTTATATGTATTTTAAGTTACTCACTCCCTGGCACAGGTCACTGCCAAGGAAGAGCTGGAAATTCCAGAGTCCCAGGAGGAACAGACAAAGTTACTTCTAGAAATGCAAAAGCAAAACCAGCAGCTGAGACTCCAACTAGCAAGCCTGCAGCAAAAGTACATAGCGCTTCAGTTCAGCTCGGTGACGAAGGATCCGCTGCAGTCTCCAGTAAAGAATCCCCTGGCATCTCCAAACCGGTTCCCGGAGTACCAGGCTACTGCACTACTCTCCCCCCGTGTCAACCGCGACGCAGAGAAGACCGTAAGGGAGCTGAAAAAGGCGATCGAGATGATGGAGAAGGAGGCACTACGCGTGCAAAGGCAGCACAGGAAAAAGGAAGGGGAGATGAGCAACAGCATCGCCGCGTTGACAATGCAAGTGAAGCAAAAGGACGACATGATAAAGAAGCTAAGCCAGCAAAAGGACGGGAGGGTGGTGGCCACAACACCCAGAGGCAAAGCCATGCAAAGCGAGACGCCGAGAGGCCTGGCTACCAATCTTCCACCATCTGGCCGGCCAGCTCCCCTCACTTCCGAGCAGAAGATGAAGCCCGCGAGGAAATCGAAGCTCTCGTTTGCAACTCCAGGGGTACCAGAGCCAGCTGCTGCTCCCGAGAGTCCAAGCGCGACCAAGTCTAGATTCTTCTCGCCCGCCAAGGCCGAAGTCGCGAGCAAAAAGCGGAGCTTTTGGGACCTTGGTGGATCAAACAGTCCATCCCTGGCGGACAGGATTCGGTGCACGAGAAGCAACTCCACGACGCCGTCCCTCCTTTTGCAAGTAAGTAGTATTCTATCATCTCATGTTGTTCTCACGTGAAGCCTCCTTGTTTTCTCCACAGCCGGGATTCACCCGACGTCGGAAGTCCGACGAGTGACACCATTTTGACACTGTGACAAAACAACAGGACTCCTTTTTATGATTTGGGATTACGCAGTTCTCTACCTTCGCGAGACTCCCAAGGTTCTATCGTTCTAGCTTTCGCATCAAACATGATTCGTATCTCTTTATCTTTCACTCTCTGCCGGACTCATCCATGGAGACGATGCACATGACTGACTCCCTCTTGTATTACTCTTCTTTGTGTGCTTCGAGGCACAACACCCAATTGTGCATAGTTATGCATACATCGAGTTTTGATCCATCTAGGCTTGAGAAGAGGAACTTCTAGATCTGAAGACGACTGAGGAGATGGATCCCATCAACAGGAGGTATCGACACTGAGGGACCAGGCGAAATGGAAGCCATACCAGTTCAATGCCGTTCGCCTACAGAGGGCCTCCTTAAGCAAGCCTGGCCATTCCCCTCGCGCTGCTGGATCCCTCCGAGGAGTTTTGGCGGGATGCCACGGCCGAGAGCTGCAGCGGCCTCGACAACCAAGACGACGATCTCGCTCAGGCGCTGTGGGACTCCTTCACTACTGGATTTGACGATGAAGCGAAGGACATTACCCCGTATCTCATCATGGAGTATCTCGGCGTGACACTACTCGCGAACCCGCTATTTGCTACGGTGGCTGGAGCGATGGCCAATGCTGTGCCTACTGGAATGCCAGGAAAGAGCTTTCCGACAAATGAAGAATCTTCCCTCTTGGCTGTCACATGGCTTGGCGGTGCTGAGGAATTGTTCGAACATCCAGTTCGTAGCCATGAGCATGGACTGGGGCTATTGATCGGATGTGAAAAACACCAAGGGAAGAATCATAGTTATTAATTTGTGGACTATAACGATACTCCTGAAGGTCAGGTAAGAAAATTATATTAACGGTTTAACCTATTTATCTCTCCCTATTTTTTTTACTCGTGACACTAATTTTCCTTATGGCAGTTTATTGGATGTTGGGATTCTTGCTACTTCTAATCTCCACAGCTGTTGGACTACAGCTGCAGGGGCACACAAACCTTGCACCCAACTCGAAGCAAACGAGGTTACATGCACCCGTAACATAGAAGGCATAATGCTTGTCATGGGACAAAAGCAAGCCACCCTTGGACAGCTTTGAGTTGAGCGGACTGCTACTCTCCAATTCAAACCCTGCAACTAAACAATCTGTAGCTTCTGCTATTCCGATGTATGTTTCAATGTTTCTTTGTTGATCTTGTTCGTGAATTCGTAAATCTAGCTAATATGGCCATGGCGGTGGTGCTCGTGGTGTTATCAATGGTTGATAGCTAAGTTCAAGGATATCTTTATCACGATGGGCCTCAAATTGACGTGAGTAAAGACCTGACTTGAGCTCTCACCTTTCTAACGAGTACACCAAGTTGGATCTTAAACATGTAGCCTGTGATATATGAGAAGGAGCCCGAAGAGCATCCTTGTCCACCACCAGTGGCGAGATCAGTGCCATACAGACCGCAAGCCCAATAGACGGGTTGAGAGCCAATTGTATCAAAACCTTGCAGTGCTCTTGCACCAGTTTCTAGGATAACATCATCCCTGAGCCGATTTACATGCTGAAGTATCATGTCTAGAGTCCTGTTGAACAACACCTCAACGTTGACATTGGAACGCATGCCCCAAATTGTGTTCTTATGCTTTCTATTGAGGGAGTTCTTGGGCTGTTTGACAAAAAAGATGTTAGCTTGTGGTCTACTCCTAGGCAGTGCTCACACAAATGCCTTTTGAGCTCATCATTGGTCATCCAGAAGGATGGGAATGTTGTCTTGTATTCCAATGCAAAATCTAGATGGGACGTTGGAACTAATAAATAAATCCAAACTTAAATGCTGATCAGAATAGAAGTTGCTAATTTGAAACTATTTGGATTTTTCATAGCTATAATAACTATATGCTGGCCTTCCTTTGCTTTAGACAAACTCTATATCTTCTTTGTAAGATTTATATGCAATATTGGACAGATTAGGCTTCAGAAAACTACAAGCTTGCAATACAAAGTGATTACTCTCCATGTGTGCCCGATTGAGGAGAATACACTCTCATGGTCCCTCATCAAGCATTTTTGTAATGAGTCTTGATCAGATCACTCCATCTCGCAAAGGTAGTAGGCCACCTTGGCTACCACAATGTCTATAAAGTTTTTATGTAACTGTTTTCCAGAAAGCAAAGACTAATCAGAATTTGTGGTTTTGGGCGCTAATGACCAATAAATATATAATTAATTCTAGAACAAGTAGAAACTAGACTATGATCCTCATCTTCAAGTTTCAAGTGAGAGTTTGATACAGCACCCTGAAAAAAGAATGAACATTCATAAAGGCTGCAATAGGAGGCTTTTTCTCCATCTTTATAATGATGCCTCTTTAGTCTTTGGACAAGTTCTAACATATGGTAGTAGTGAGAATAACTCGATGAGGATCATTGTCCAATTTATAAATTATTATATTGGAATTCTCAGAGGTACTTTTATAATTTTCCATAAAATTTTCAAGAATTGTGAGTCAGCATTGCTGCCATGGTGGGATCTGTAGTTACCATGAATGTTTCAATATTTCTTTGTTGGTCCTATTTATGGGACAATGAGTCTAGCTAATCCCACAGCTATAGGGTTGAATTCTAATCAATCTATCAAATTCTAATAAAAAAGCATTTCTTCAACTTCGTAAAAAAAACTGTGTTGTTGAAGACGGTAAACAAAGTGAATATAATAGTTATATTCTTCTTAAGTGTCAAGAAAATCAATAATGGGGGCATTAGTAAAAAAAAAAAGGTATTACTGTGTATTTAAAATGGCCATAATAAATATAAAAAACTATCTTCCACACTCATCACCCTTTCAATTAACTGAGAATGGTGTAACTAGGGATAGTGACTTTGTTTGTGCTGCAATAGTCAAATATTAACCCATTCTTTTTGGATATAAAAGAAATGCATGCATTAGAGGATGCCAAATAAAACCCTCCAAAATATGTGTAATGCTTCCAATTTGTTAATGAAATATTATAAATAAGACTAAGTGGTGATGATTTTCTCTTCATAAGAGCAATGGTTTAAAGTAATATGATAAATTAAGAGGTTATAAATTCAAATCTTCTGAGCAGGTTTGAGGTTTGAATCTTTTGTGGACAGTAATGGCAGCAAATACAAAAAAGTATATTATTAAACTATTTTTTAACTTTCTAGCCACCTTTCACTTTTTTTAACTGGCTATAGCGTTTTTTTTATAGTAGTTCTTGACAAAGCTTTTACCTTTTTTATCCATGCCCGCTTCCACTTGCATTTTTTATAGAACTATAAAGTTTTTCTCAATTACACATCTATAATCTCTCCAAAGTTTGGAGAAGTTCGAGCGCATATTAGTAGAGAAAAAACAGTAGCACCATTAGAAATACAAGCAAGTGCGCCATAAGTTTCAAAGCTGTATACAGGTTTATAGTAGTGCTAGAAGCTTAAAAAACTCTCACACAAACCGTGGTAATCCAAAGCACGGCAAAAACCTGGAATGGTAGGTCACGCATCAACAAAATGTACAACCAAAATTGAAATCACTCGGAACCATCGGGTGGCGAGCAAACTCTAACCATGTCGTCCAACGTGTTGTCATAGAGAATTCTATCGAAGGCAGAGTCCACTGATCCAATACTTCGCTCGATCTTCTCCACGACGATCAAAGAATCAGTCAAGGACGCCGCTGGCGATGGCTGCAGCAAATCAAGCTTGGCCATCATCTTCGAAAACGGTGAGAGAGTCGCGGTACTCGCTGGCTGGCTTGCTCCTGCCGCTGGAAGTATCCTCGTTCCAAAGTAGCTCTCGTCGGTGTGATTGAGCATCACAACTCCGCCACCACTGTCGCGGTTCATGTCGAACACAAACCTCTTGAAGCTGCCATCGCTGCTGTCGCTGCTGCTGTTTTTCCTACTTCTAGTGCGGACGTAAGCCTCCGGGCTGCCTATTCTAACCACGGGCGATTCTTCAGTACTGTGCTTGGGACTATCCTGCTCCTTGTCTCTGACCACCACCTGTTTCATCTCGAACGAAAGTTGCGAGATTTCGTCCTCCCAACGCCTCTGACTTGGTGGAGGAGACTGGATATCTCTACAGTAGGCTGTGAAGTCGCCACTCTCCATGCCTGTCCTAACTGACGAGGAGTGGCTCGCAGAAGAACACATAGGTGCACTGTGAAAATGCTAAGCCGAAATTACTAAGAACATTAAATAAGTGAAACCGTACCTTGCATCAACCATGTTCTCCGACTCTTGCCCTTCAGTGCAAACAGCAACGGGATCGCTCGAAAACTCGGAAAATCTGCTAGCTCTTCTGTGCTCTAGCTTGATTGCCTGTCAAAGGAAAAGCATGATGTTAAATATAAAAAAGACACACGGAGGCACAGAAAGAAACTAAACAAACCTGAGACTCGAGCTTTTGCTGGAGTTTGGTCAAGGTCCCACTCAGCTTCGCTCGCTCCTTGTCACAAGCTTGGAAGAGTGATGCATTCTTTGATGCCAAGTTTTTTGCTTCCGACAGTTCTGATCTTACTCTTCGAACTTCCTTCTCGTACTCCCGTGCCTGACCTCGCTTATTTTCTCCAACGACCTTAAGTTTTTCCGTTAGCCTTCTTGCTTCAGAGACCAAATCTCTCATGTCCTTGTGCTGGTTTTCACACGTCCATCTCTTCTGTGCCTTGAAAACTTTGTCTTCAACATGTAGGCTCCCCCGTTTCCTAACTTGGCACGAAGCGGACCGACAACTACAGCACTCGGCCAGCAGCTTTTGCAGCTGTTCAATCTCCTGCTCCGCTACAAACAGCGATCTATTTGCTGCCGTCAAAAGAAGCTCGAGATCACCGATCCGTAACTGGTGCACCTGGATAATCCGGCTCTGCTCTAGAATCTGAGTCTGCATTTGCATGATCATCTCGTCCCGGTTCTTGAGCTGCTGCCTAAGCCTGTGGACAACGTCTCGCTTCCCCGAAAGCTTTGGAGTGAGCGGTGTAAGTGTTCGTCCAGTTGACGGCGTTGAGTACGCCTCCTTCAAAGTCTGCTGGAACGGAGTACACAACTGACCATCCATGCCAGGAGTAGCAGCAGCAGCATTAGTGGGAGGAGTCGCCACCACTGTTTTGAAAGCTTTGTGAGGATAAGCCGCATTGAAACCACCACCTTCAGCGTTAACTCTTTTGTTTACGGGCCTTCTCTGCGCGCCAGGAGTCTCTGATAAAAGACAAAAGAAGAGTTTCTAGGAAAATAGAAGAAGAAAAGCAGTACCTGTGGACATTGTTGTCTAGAGCAACCTCCAAAGCTCATTGTCACAGGCTGGACACCCAGGAGCATCTGAAACATCCGATAGAATTAAAGCGCGGGTCTTAGATCGTTAAAACAAATACCTATCGACATTGTTCTTGGGAGAAATCCAGTTCGCGAGATTATTCATCCAAAGCGCTGCGAATCCATCAACATAACAATGTAGCCTCGAAATCACGGCCGGAAACCCAATCCATACCTCGGTGGATCAAAGCGCCATCGCCGCTCGCACTGCCCGGCGCTAACCCTAGCACCTTCTATCGAGCTCACTCACTGGGTGGAAGGAAAATCTAGAACACGAGATGGGCCATATGGCGCGTACGGACTTCCCGCGCCCACAAATTTTCCCTCCACGTTTGAAGCTATAGAAAAAAGTAAAATGCCAGGCATTGTCAATCCAGGCATTCTTTTATGATACAAATCGCGTGGACATTCCGTGGAGGAACAAATCTGACGCGTCAGCGGTTCCGACGGCGAAGATTAAATCTGGTCATGTAGAATCGCCTTCTCTCTCTCTTTTATTTAGGCATTGTTTGTGAGGAGCGAGAGGCGCTCTCTCACGTCGGCATCTCGAGTGGACCCGCAGCTCCAATATTTCGATCGAGGTACGTTTTTCTCGCGAAATCTCCACTCCGTTTGCAATCGCATCGATTGCATGATCATTACCCCCTCCTCCTCCCAAATCTTTGTCGACAAGAACAGTGCTTCATGCATGCAGTAGGATTCTTCGTGAAAAAACCTCCGATTCGTCTCCAAATATCTTCGCTGCATCCATTCCTCGCGAGAATCTGTCCTTCGCGGCGTCGCGTCGATTCCTGCCGGAGTAATCCCCCATCGCTCTCCCTTCCTCGCAGATGTCCGACCTCGAGAAGCCTCTCCGCCCCAAGAAGGCGCGCTCCTGGGTCGACTGGGCCGTCCAGTTCCGCTGGATCATCGTCATCCTCGTCGTGCTGCCGTGCTCCTTCACCTTCTACTCCCTGGATTACCTCCGCTCGCAGTGGTCCGCCTCCAAATCCTACAAGAAGCGCCAGAAGGAGCACGACGCCAACGTCGCCAAGGTCATCAAGCGCCTCAAGGAGCGAGATCCCAAGAAGGACGGCCTCGTTTGCACGGCCAGGAAGCCATGGGTCGCGGTGGGGATGCGCAACGTGGACTACAAGCGCGCGCGCCACTTCGAGGTGGATCTCTCGCCCTTTGGCCAGATTCTCGACATTGACACCAAGAACATGATCGCGCGAGTGGAGCCTCTCGTCAACATGGGCCAGATCTCACGAGCCACGGTGCCGCTCGGTGTGTCCCTGGCCGTGGTGGCCGAGCTCGACGATCTCACAGTAGGCGGCCTCATCAACGGCTATGGCATCGAGGGCAGCTCCCACATCTACGGCCTCTTCTCCGACACGGTGGTGGCTTACGAGATCATCCTCGCCGACGGCCGCCTCGTCCGTGCTACTGCTGACAACGAGCACAAGGAGCTCTTCTACGCCATCCCATGGTCACAGGGAACTCTTGGGCTGCTCGTGGCCGCCGAGATCAAGCTCATCCCAGTCAAGGAGTACATGAAGGTGACTTATTTTCCAGTTCGCGGGAGCTTGCGAGATCTGGCGCAGGCATACATTGATAGCTTCTGCCCGGCCGATGGCGACCAGGATAGCGCTGACAAGGTTCCAGACTTCGTGGAGGGGATGATCTACAACCGGAACGAAGGGGTGATGATGACGGGACGATACGCGTCTCGGGAGGAAGCCAAGCAGCGGGGGAACAAGATCAACGAGCAAGGGTGGTGGTTTAAGCCGTGGTTCTACCAGCACGCACAGACCGCGCTGGACAAGGGCGAGTTCGTGGAGTACATTCCAACGCGGGAGTACTACCACAGGCATACCCGGTGCTTGTACTGGGAGGGGAAGCTCATCCTCCCATTCGCAGACCAGTTTTGGTTCCGCTGGCTCATGGGCTGGGCGATGCCTCCCAAGGTCTCGTTCCTCAAGGCGACGCAGGGTGACGCTATCAGGAACTACTACCACGAGAGGCACATCATCCAGGACATGCTGATACCGCTCCACAAAGTTGCGGATGCGCTGGAATTCTCGGACAGAGAATTTGAGGTACGCACTTTCCTCTCATTTTCCAGTCCTTGCACCGAACTTTTACTTTGTTTGCTTGCGTTTGGAAGTTCTTGTTTTTCGCTCAAGTAATTCTTCCATGCTTGCATGCTTGACTCATAAACTCTTCGCAAAGGTCTCGCTTTGAGGTACGTACATCCTAGTCCACTTTGTTTGTCAAAGTTCTTTTTCTTTCTCATGCTTGTTTTCCATGCTTGCTTGCTTGACTCTTCAACTCTTTGCAAATCTCATCGCTCCCTGATATCAGGTGTATCCAATCTGGCTGTGCCCGCACCGCTTGTTCCGGACGCCAATCAAAACGATGATCACACCGGAGCAGAGCTTCGAGCTGTACCAAAGGCAGGGCGACACGAGCTACGCGCAGATGTACACGGACGTGGGCGTCTACTACACGCCGGAGCCGGTGTTCCGCGGCGAGGAGTACGACGGCGCCGCGGCGGTGCGCAAGATGGAGCAGTGGCTCATCGACAACCACGGCTTCCAGCCGCAGTACGCCGTGACGGAGCTCAACGAGCACGACTTTTGGAGGATGTTCGACGCCACCCTCTACAACGCGTGCCGCGAGAAGTACAGGGCAGTGGGGACGTTCATGAGCGTCTACTACAAGTGCAAAAAGGGGAGGAAGACCGAGCAGGAGGTGAAGCAGGAGGAGCAAAAAGTTCACGACAACGGGTACAAGGATCTTGAAAGGCCACTCGACGCTTGATAAGTTTTTGTGAGGCTCCTCTTCTAAGTACTCTTTTGCTTGCTTGGTTCTCCTTTTCTATTTTTTCCTCTATCTTCTTTGTGTGCTTTGGGACACCAAAACTGATTGCGAATAATTTATCTGCGGCATCACATGCCTCGAGTTTTGATCCAAACAAAAGGCTGGAATTTTGCTCCGAGTTTCGGACATTTTCCTGCATTGTCTCGATGGATGAGTACGGCAAACCCAAAGAAAGAAAGTCAAGAATAAAGAGATACGAATCAAACTTCCAGCTGTTTGTTGTTTGCCCCACGGGTCGCATCGGCATCCCAAAATGATAAAGTTTGTCAAAATCGTGTTACTCATAGGACTTGGGCAAAGCCAAACAGGCTTCACGCGAGAACAACATGAGATGATAGAATGCCACTTGCAAAAGCAGGGACGACGTTCTGGAGTTCTTCTTGTGCATCCTGTATGGACTGTTAGATCCCCCACCAAAAGCTTGCCTGATTGCTGGCAACGTTGGCGAGAAGAATCTCGACTACCTAGAGCTCTAGACCTCGTAGAAAGGAAACGATTGATGTGGAAACACCCAGTATATTTGACAGCGGCTGACTCGGGTGGCTCGCTCATTGTGCAAAGGCTTGCGTTCTTTGAAAATCCATGGGAGAGGTTTAACTGCCGCGTGGTTAACGGGTAATTAAGCACTATTTAATTCTCAATAAATAGTATTCCATACTGCTATTCTGTTGGAATACAACACAAGGTTTCCATCTCTTTGCATGGCAAGGGATGAGCTTCTGAAACATGAGCTGCATTGTTCCGGCGTGGACCATAGAATAATCTTGGTGATATCGTCGAATAACATAAGAACCCCGCGGATGGAGATTGCAAGCCTGCAGTTTTCCAGAGGGTAGCTTGTTCCACTCGCCCACACAAATCTTACACCGTCTCCCAGTTCGAAGCACATCATATTGCAAGTAGAAGTTACCATGAAGATGTAGAGTTTGTCGGGTGAAAAGAGAGTGTCACCTTTGTAGAGACTCGCAAAGGCACTGCTCTCCAATTCATACTTAGACACCGAGCAATCCCTAGTTGCTTGCTCTAACTCCGTGTCTATCTCAAGCAATTCGTCTCGCCTTTTGGGTTTGGGAGTCCAATCTGGGATTTCAAACTCAACGACACCGTCTCCAATTGTTGCCATGAGCTGTACTATATACAGACCTTGGTCGTTTCTAAATCGCCACAGCTCGCTACGAACCACGTTGATGACATTGTTGATGTTGTCCTTGAATTGTGAGGCTGTAATGGTCGAGAAAGTCGTTGAGGAACAGTGATCGTCCAAGTCTCGCCCATAAGTTCCCGCTGCCCAGTAGATTGTGATTCCGCCAACTGCCAGTGAGTCTTGAACTGATCTGCCACCGATCATGATTCTCGTGTCGTTATTGACCTGGTTGACACGGGCAGAGATTCTGTCCAAGAGCTCAGTCACTTCGTGTAGCGTAAACCTGTAATCTCGAGTGTACCTGTATGTTATGCCGGATGCTGTGGTTATGAGAAGTGCAAGAATGTATATTAAGCGTATTTCCATTTCTTAGTTGTAGCGAGTTCTATTCATCGTTTTAAAGGAGAGATTCAGCAATGACTTTCTATTTTGCATGTTGAAAGCTCTCAAATACGACTAATTACATGTCTTAGTGACAGTTCCGATCCTTTTGCATTGGACAAGACAGCGTTCCCAAAGTAGCTTGACTAACAGCAAATGAGCTTGAAATTGGTCCGAGAGCTGAGCTCTCAGACAATATTTACAGAGCAAGTTACATTCCAGCAGAGCAGTCGTCTGAACCAGCGGGCGGACATCTTGGGGTACCGCTTGAGTCCATTGGTATAATCCACAAAGTATAACCCAAATCGGACTGTAAAACCATGAGACCATTCCCATGTATCCAACAAAGACCATGCAAAGTAGCCGCGGACGTCAACACTGTCTCTGCACTTCCATCACAAAGTTCATCGATGCTGTTGTCAAGTAAACTCGTGTTTGATTACCTCGTAATGGCCAGATTCAAGTTTGCAAGGTATTCCTGGTGGTAATCAATTCTGGTCTTGTCTCCAAGGGACTGCGAAAGGTTGTGCCCGCTTGCTTGATCCATTCCTGGAGGATTACGGTTACGTTAGGAGCCACTACGAGAGAGGAGAAACACATATTTCTTACCATTCTCTGTGATGACAATGATTGGATTTTTGTAATGAGCCTTGATATACCCCAGGAGCTTTCTGAAACCCCATGGAACAACATAGAGCCACGTCGAGGAACCCTGCTCGAAACGCACAAGAAAGATTGTTGAAATAGCAAGCACGTCGTTACCTTGGGACCGATTGGCACCCCGTCTCGACTGACTGTCAATGAAAAGACGTCAACGGATGATTTTGAAAGCGAGAAGTGCTCACCCAACGAACGAACTCTGGAATCAAGGTCGTAGTTCGTCATGCTTGGTGGAACTTCTGGCGAATCCTGCGCATAGTTTGAGGTGTAGTGGTTTAAACCGAGAAAATCCAGCGAACTCATCAATAAGCCGGCTTCGTTCCCTGTGAACTGTGGCAGGCGACTGGCTACATAGCTTCTCATCACAGGCGGATAGTTCCCGTAGACAATAGGATTTAGAAACCTGTACATAATGCGCTTTAGTGACATTACCAAAACCAAGTAATGTGAGACACATACCATCCTAGTTGGAAGTCAGTAGCTCTTATCGCAGCTGCTTTGTCCGCCGAGGAGTTTGAGAATGGTTCATACCAGTCAGCATTTAGCGCGATGCCAATTTTTCCTTTCTGCTGAGCCTGCGTTCAAGTAACCAAATTATTAGAGCACAAGAGAAAAAACGAAAACTAGAACCTGGAACTTCTTTTTGTACACTTGAGCAGCCGAAGCATGAGACAGCAGTACATTGTGCGCTGCTATGTAAGGCTCAGTAGCTGAATTTCCACCGATGCATCCAGAGCACCGTCCAGGTGCTGATACTCCCAGACAGTAACCTTCCCTCACAAACGAATGCGGCTCGTTGAACGTTATCCAATGTTTTACGCGGTCTCCGAAGGCATCGAAGCATGTCTCTGCGTACTTTGTGAACTCTTTTACAATCTGAGGATTAAGCCAGCCGCCTAACGAGTCTTCTAATGCCTGAGGCAGGTCCCAATGGTACAGTGTCACATATGGTTGGATTCCTGTTCCAAGTTTAAATAAAACATTAAGAAGCTTTTAAGATTCCACCTTGCTCTAAAAGGCTGTTAATAAGCGAGTTGTAGTATGCAATACCCTCGCCATTCGCTGGGCTGCTTTGTCCATCTACAAGAAAACGAAAGGGATGCAGCTTAGATGTAATTTACAAACCGGCGATGCAATAACATACCAGGATAAATGCGCGACCATGAAATGGAGAAGCGATAAGCATCCATAAACATTTCCTTCATCAACAGTACATCCTTCTGCAAGACAGCAAAGATATTCTGAAGACAAGAAGGCCTACTCCGTACCTTGTAGCGATGATATTGATCTTCTGTAACATCCCCATTGCTGCTGTCTGAAATATTTGCTGAAGGACAAACATGTTACAGCATTGGTGCAAAAAAGAAGGAAAAAGCATACTTGAATTATGAGAGAAAATGTCCCAAATGCTCGGTCCTCGTCCGCCTTCTCGCACTGCTCCTTCATACTAGGTAGCAAAAATAAACACAGAATTGATAGAGGAAAATATCTACCTGGTACGCAGCTGACGAAGTCCCAAATACAAAGCCTCGAGGGAAGCTGCATCTGCTAAGTGCTTCGCCTTGAGAACCAAATACTGCTTTGCTGCGAGATAGCGCCACAAGGACAACGAAAACTAGAACCATGCCCATCGCACCAAAACCAGGCATGCCCAAATTGCGACAGTCGGCTTAAGGAATAGCATTTCCATGAAGAAACAGTAAATTTTTCTTAGTGTGCAACCACATGTATTTATAAACAAAACCGAACCTTCCTTAAAAGATCTCTACATTCGCGACAATACCCCCTTCGAACTGCAAACAGCACTATAAAAATGCAATCCAGAAATATGTTATCAAGCAGACCTTGGAACCTTGCCAATTCGACGGGGATCGGGCTCACAAGCCTGGCGAAGAGCTCTCGCAAACGCTTTGAACATGGCTTCTATGATATGGTGGCTGTTTGTACCATCCAGCTAGAAGACGAACACGAACACAAGTTTGAAAAATACTTTGAGAACTTTTATCAAACCTGTCGGATGTGGAGAGTCATTCCTGATGTGTTACATAGCGATTGGAAAAAATGCTCAACAAGCTACAAGACATTTCATTAGAAAGCGCTAGATTTCCACAGCACAACAGCCTACCTGAGTATCATACTGACCAACTCGCTGAGTGGGGATTGTCGCCGTATATCTCAAGCAAGGCCTGCCACACAAATCCTTAAAAAAAAAACACAAGTTCAACTCGACCAATATATATGCAAACTGGAAAAAAAATCATACCACAACGACATGGACAAGGGCCTCATCGAGTGGAACACTGAAATCACCGTAGCGGTGAATGCCGGAGCGATTCCCTATAGCTCTTGCGAGTGCCTGAAAAAAAACCATCAATCGAAACGTTCACAAAGATAGCAAGAGAAGAACGAACCGTTCCAAAAGCCAAAGCAACATCCTCGTTCGTGTGGTGGTCATCGATGTGAGTATCTCCGACTGCCTTGATGCTCAAATCAAAGAGACCATGAGAGGCAATTTGCTGAAAAGAGGAGATATGAGTCTAGACGTCCAAAGCGAAAGAAACTTACGTCTAGCATGTGGTCTAGAAATGGGATGCCGGTGTCACAGTCGCAATTCCCAGTGCCATCCAGACCGATCGAGACATCCACTTTCGTCTCCTTCGTGTTACGAATCTCCCTTCCTATTCTCACTGCCAATCAAAGACGAATAAGAGCAAAGATCACGAATTTCATGCCAGACCAGGAGGAGCAGTATCATCGACGGACACACTGCCGTTGGATGCCGCCATTGATCGAAGAGCCGGGATCGTGGCGCTGCTGCTAGAGACACGAATCGATCGCAGAGACGAGTAGAGAGGGCAAAACTCAGCAGCTCGGGCTTGCTTTTCCTCGATTCGACGACTAATACACTTACATTCTACTGCCGATCCGGAATTTCTCAGCGATGGAAAGGACGCTTCCCGGCACATCGCGGAGAGCTGGATCGCCATAGCCGAGAAGAAAATTTAGGGTTTATTGACAAGAAAGAAGGGGTCACATAGAAATATTTTGGTCTAGGGGTTTGGATTCGCTATTGTAGGCGCTGGGGGATCTTGAGGCGGAGTTCTTTGATCTGCAAGAACAGCACACAGCGCGATTTTAGATCGAAGATTTTGGCAAGGAACACGGATGCGATGATCGCTTACCGTTGCCGCCGCAGGGCTCGCCGATGTCGAGAAGAACCTCGCAGGTCGTGGCGATCGGCAAGAGGCTCTTGATCACGGTCCGTCCCACGGTCTCCGGCGAGCACAGGCAATGCGGGCTCAGGACGCTGCGAATCGCCTCGCAGCAATCGCCGTGGATGGAGGCGCCCTTGGATGCCAGACAGGTGAAGAGCTGGTATTTGTTGCAATTGATCCCTCGATAGGTCGGGATTGGATCACCGTCCTGCCTGGAGGGAAATCCAAGAACAGCGCCGCCGCCGCCGCTCGCCAGAATCGCCATGGCCAGGAGGAGATTGATGCTGCTGCGAGCGGCCATAATTTCGCGGTGATCGGTCGATCGGTCGATCGAGGAGAGACTGGGAGATTTCGATCGATCGAGGTCCAGGTTTTAAGGCGGTGGAATTGGGGGGAATGTCGCGGATGGATGCATCACACGATTCTTTGCGGGGGTTTTAGGTGAGCAGTGGATCGAAAGGCGTGGGCCAATCCGGGGCGTCCAAGGTTTTCAAAAAAGAGGGGGATTGGGCGGGCAGTGCTAGGGTTTGTGTGGCCTAGGGTTTCTGAGCAGGGGAGAGAGCATCGCAGGGATCGCAAGGGGCGGCATTCCATTCTTCGAGCATGACATTTCCGGGAGAACTCGTGCATTTCGTCATGCTGGAGAGGTTCTGGCTAGTGGATGATAGATGATTGCAAAATGTAGGCGGAGGAACTCCTAGTTCGTTTGATCGGTGATAGTTTTAGCATATGGTGAAGGGAGGGAGATGACAGGTGGGATTCCGACCGAGTTATGGGACACCACTTACAACGACTATGGACGGTTTTACAAAAGTGCCAAGGTAAGAAGGGTGGTGTTTTGTTTCTTTCTCTCAGCCTATGTTTCTCAAGCGGCAGCTCGAGGATGCCGCTTCGAAATGCGAGAGAAAGTGTGAGAAGCTCTCTCGGGAGCTGATGGATTGCCAGAAAACGCTGGACGAGCTGAAAATGCGAACAAAAAATGATAATGCTGCGGGTACCGGCGAGAGCAGTTCGCCAAGTAAGTAGCGAACAACGACCTGTTTTTCTTCAATCTTTTGATTCTTTTCCCTCAGGTCGTCGTGCCCTCAAAGGCATGCTTAGATATCAGTCTTCTATACCCAACCTCCGAGTTCCTGGGTACACCCATGCAGCGGACGAGGAGGATCGAAAGAGCCAGAAGGAGCAGGTGCAGCAAGAAATGCAGTTCATGCGTATTAAAAAGAAGGACCAAGATATCGAAAGAATGTATGCCGAGAAGGTCTCTACTGTTTCGTGTACTTATCTCCTGGTTTCAGGCGCATGGAGCATATTGTTAACGCTTACAGATACAGACAGCTTTTCCCGGCCGAGTACAACATGGAGCACAAGAACTATCCTCCTCCCTCTCGACATCACGTATTCGATCTTCAGCCGCAAAGGCGCTTCGAGAAGAGAGTTCCTGCACCACTACATCCGTCCGTGACCAGATATACGCACTACAAGTTTTATGGTAGCATGGTGTTTCTGAGCTCTCTGATTTTATCTGACCACATTGTTTTGCAGGATACGGTGGACACGGTGCCAAGACCAGCTGGGGGCACAATATGCCTCTGGGAAAAAGGGTCCGGCATTGCAAACGAACCCGTATACTACCATCGCATTGATAGAGCTGAGTATGTTTTCTTTAGAGTTCTTTTTAAATATAACCATGATTTTGTTCACTTTTACACGTGGCCTTATCCTGCACACGTCGGCATCTCAAGAACAGGCTATGCGCCGCTCTCGCGTTTCGTTCCATGGAAATTAGTGTGAAATCTTTGTTCAGTATGGTATCGCCTGCCTCCGCCTTCTGTGGATCTGAACGAGCGGGTTTACCCGCGTGTAAGTCTTACTCGGGCAGGCGTAAGATTCACAGGTGTCATTGCGTTTTTGCAACCATGGACGTGTTTTCTTCCGATGATATTGTGCTGGAAAGTTTACTGGGGACATATGGCTACATGAGCATCTCCAGGTTCTTTGAGTTCTTGTTCTTTGTATCATATGTTCGACGTGGTCATTTTTTTTTATTGTTTGTGTGTGTGTGTGTGTGTGTGATTTTGTTTTCAGCTACGACCCGCCCAAGCTTGATGGAGGAATAGAGAGCATGACAACCAGTTTAAATGTAAAGAGATTTGGTGGTCAGGAGGTTGATGCTGGTAACGTGGAAACAAGGTGAGCTTTCGACGAATATTGGAAGTAATGTACACACTTCTTATTTCAAGGCTCTACTCCGGAAGAGTAAGGCGTGGTCCGAACACTGGCACACGCATTTTACTGAAAGTAAGTTTTACTGAATTCGTGAAGAAAAGAGTAGCTTTACATCACCATCTCAGGCTTATCCGGTTCGAAATGCCGGTGGTATGAAGCTGATATGATGGCGGCAAATGAGTTGAGTTCACACGCCATTCTTCAGGTTGATATTGAATTTTTTTTTTTTTTTTTTCCTGTTATCCTTGACGCAGCTTTCTCTTGCAGGACTCTTCAATGGGAAAGACATGCGAAAACATAATAGTACTTCTTGGAGGATTTGAGACACGCACAGGAGAACAGGCATGCAAGACTTCATCACGTCATTCTTTTACAGTGTCCAACTTGTTTCAGGACAGTGGCTTGTGTTTCGAAATGATGGAATCAAATCCGGGGCTGATTATGCCATGGCTGCGGGCGTTGCAACTCAGAAGGGCATTTCTGTAGGTGCTTGGGACTTTTGGGATCGTTTTGAAAAAGCAGAGGTTCTTCAAAGGAGACATGCTTTTATTCGAAAACTACTTGCTGGTGCCTTTACTGGTCTGTCTTTCATGCATGCCCGTGGTCAACTACACCAGTCTCTTGGCCCTGCATCAGTGATTCTCAAGTAAGTTCAGAGTACATACTTCCTTGATGGCATTGTTTTTGTTGCTGCAGCACAATGGAAGAGCGAAATATTTCAATGGTTTTACCTCGTTTACGGGATCTCGCCTTTGCTGTGGATGTGAGGTTAGTTCATGTTATGCATCTCAGTCTTAATTTAGTATCTCTTTCGACATTTGCAGTAATGAAACTCTGTTTCGTGGTGCCGACCCGAAATTTGGAGCTCTTTCTGATAATCTTTGGCGTAGAGCAGCCGCTGCAGGTGCTCGAACAATATTTGAACGCAAGGCATTTGGGATTGCTGATGATATGTAAGATATTATTTTCGTACTTCGGCTTATTTGCTGTGTTTTTGTGGCAGCTTCTCCGGTGGCCTGCTTCTGGCATATATTGTTTTTGCATCTCTCAGTGTTCCTGGTAGCGTTGATGCTCCATCACTTCAGGTTTTGCTACACTCCACCATCCATTTTTCTGATATTTTGTTCTTTTGAGCAGAGGCTTTTGGAAACCACATTTCGACTTGATCTAACTGCTACTAGAGAGTCTGTTTTTTCCACTTTATTCTAGCTTTTTAATCTACCGTTTCTATTACAGATATTGTATGATGGATGATAGGTGGGAAGAGGCTGTCAAGTTCCTGGATCTCGATAATAAAGCAGGATGGGAACTTCTCCAGGTGAGTGAGGTAGCGGAAATTGATAATGTCACTCTACTAAGAGACTGAGACTGCAGGTGATGCTCAATCCAGATTATCGGCAACGGCCCATAGCAGATGCTGTTCTGTGTCACCGGTTCATGACAGGTTGACGAAAGGAAAAGTAAAGCTGCAGACCCGGGTACAATGTACTATGCTTTTGATATCAGCTTCTTCGTTTGCAACATGTGAGCGCATCTGGTTGAATTGATCGGTAAAATCGGAATTTTCTTTCAGTTCTGATGACTCTTCGTGGTAAGGACAGTAAGAAAGCGACAAGAGAAAATCAAGGCGGCAATATCGATAATGCCAGAACTCTCCCCAAATCGAATTTCTCTGTTACTAGGACAGCATAGTGGAAACCATGTTCATACTGGCTCCTACCAGCTTTTGTTGCTCTTTGCTTGCACCGATCCATCACTCAAGCATCTGTCCTTTCTTAAGCTGTCATTCCTTGTTCATCGTTGTGGCTTATCATGCATTGCTTGTGCTTGGTGGTACCCATGCTTTTGCTCCAGAAATGTTAAAGGCATAGTTGTGGCTTGGTTCTGTTCATCCCGATGGATCACAAAAGCTCTGTGCTCGTCATATCTCTTATCGCCTTTTTAGCAGGCTGCGGAGCGACCGGAATCAGCAGGTGCGATTTTCCGAAACAGTTTGTGTTTGGCACAGCGTCCTCTGCGTATCAAGTATGTTGCTCTTTTCTCTTTATCTGTTTTCTGTTTATACTTCTTTCTCTGTGGTTAGTATGAAGGGGGTGCCAAGCAAGGTGGACGGAAGCCAAGCATTTGGGACAAATTCTCTCATACTTTCGGTACGTTATGCTTATACTTTCTAGTTTGAATGATTTTTTTTGGAAAATTTAGGCAAGATTTTGGATGGCAGCAATGGCGATGTTGCTGAAGATCAATACAATCGGTATCAGGTATGCTCGTATCTTGAAAGATAATGTAGAGCCTTGCGAGTTTTTCTCCCAGGAGGACATATTATTGATGAAAGAACTTGGCATAGATGCATATCGATTTTCAATTTCGTGGTGTCGTATTTTCCCTGGTAAATATGGCGTTGCATTCAAGCGTTATTTGAACCTTTACTGCAATGCAGATGGAAACACAACGCAAGTAAATGCTGAGGGTGTGAATCACTACAATGGCTTTATCAACGCTCTCTTAGCGAACAGTCAGACTAAGCATTGGTTTTTGTCTTTTGTGCTTACTTGAGTGATGCAGATATTGAACCTTACGTTACCCTTTACCATTGGGATCTTCCACAAGCGCTTGAAGACTCAATTGGGGGATGGCTTAGTTCTGAGATTGTGTAAGTAATTTTTCTTATCGAAGACAAGTTTCAAGCTCTCAATGTTTGAACATGCAGAAACAGATTTGCCGCCTACGCTGACGCTTGCTTCAACGCATTTGGCGATCGGATCAAGTACTGGATTACTTTCAATGAACCCCAGTCGTTTGCAACGTCAGGATACGACTTAGGCATTCATGCGCCAGGAAGATGCTCAATACTTTTATGTTCGAAAGGAAACTCCGCCACTGAGCCTTACACTGTTGCTCATAATGTGCTACTCTCACATGCGGCCGCAGTGCGCATCTACAGAACGAAGTATAAGGTGTGTATGCAACATGAAAATCATTTTCTTGGAAGCTTATTATACTGTTGAGCAGGCCCGGCAAGGTGGAACAATTGGAATTACCTTGAATTCGTTCTGGTACGAGCCGCTTTCAAACTCCACAAATAATATAGCAGCTGCACAGAGAGCTCTGGATTTTGAGCTCGGGTGGTAAGGTCTTGTGAATTCTAAAGTTCATCTAAAGCATTCTTTCATTCCAGGTTTTTAGATCCAATCGTTTATGGTGACTATCCAGCAGTTATGCGTGATTACGTGGGACATCGCCTGCCGATGTTCACAGAGGAGCAACGTTCTTCTTTGCTGCTATCGATTGACTTCCTTGGACTTAATCACTACACTACCAATTTTGCATCTGCGCTACCTCCTCCGCTTATAAAGAACTGGACAGACTATTTTCAGGATTCCAGAGTACTCAGAACAGGTACCCCGGAATCAAAGGTCGGCTGTTTTTGTCATAGTTTTCTCTTTGCAGCATCTCGTGGTGGAGTTTCAATTGGACGAAGAGTGAGTTTAATCTTCCTGTGAATTATAGCCACTAATGCTGCCTTGATAGGCGGCATCCATTTGGCTATACGACGTGCCATGGGGTTTTCGAAAGCTAGTCAGCTACGTAACTCACCGTTACAATCAGCTGCCAATTATCATAACAGAAAATGGTGCGTGCCTCCATATTCTTTTGCATGATCTATATCGTCAAAAGCTGTCAGGAATGGACCAGTCCAGTTTCTTATCACGAAGCAGCGCTTTGCACGACAGCCACAGGATTGACTTTCATAGCAACTATCTGTCAAATCTTTCCGCTGCGATCAGGTACAAGATTTACACTTTTTAGCAGCTGGATCACGCTTATGATCTCAGGGACGGAGCTGACGTCCGGGGATACTTTGTGTGGTCAATGTTGGACAACTGGGAATGGAGTGCGGGATTCACTTCTCGCTTCGGTCTCTATTATGTGGACTACAGAGACAATTTGAAGCGATGTCCGAAAGCATCGGCAGCCTGGTTTACGAACTTCTTGAATCAGACTTGTGCTTATCGATAGCTCTTTCAAAATGCTACAACCTTTTCACATTGTCCTCTGTCTTTCACACATTGCAGTGTTCTTCCTGGTGTGCAGGCTCTTCCTGCAATACAGGAACTTCACTATTACGCTCAGCTTCTTCTTTGCTCTCATGCACTGTAATATTTGAGGAGTTTTTCTCAGCTGCTGCATCTTTACCTTTATCTTCTGGAGCAGCAGCATTTTCATTTGGACTTTCTGAGAACAAAGTGAGAATCTGTCCACCCCATCCTGTCATAATTTCTAACCATGTTTGTGTTTGAACAGTGGCAACGGCGGCATTGGCTTTGGCTTTACCATTGGCAGCAGTTGCGGTGACAGCTCGGCCTTTCTTTTTCTTGTGCCAACAAAGTCCTCCGAAACATGTAAGCAATGCAATTGGCACCACTACTCCAGCTATCCAGGCCTGACTCTTTTTCTTACCAGTCCGAGGTGGAGGCGATCTGGGAGAAACACGCTGGCGCGGTGGACTGGGAACTCCTGTATCCGTGTCCGGGGAAGGGCCACTAGGCGTATCTCTATCAGCGGGAGGGATCCATCATCTTCTAGAGGTGGTGGCGGATTCCTGCGGCTTGGAGGAGATGGCGACGACGGACAATTGCTCTGGCAGTTGCCTTCGCCACAGAAAGTGTCTCCAGTACCACAAAAGCCGAGTAAGTTGCAACACTGTCCAGAGCCACAGTCGGCCCCCCTGGCCTGAACACCGCACTCCGGAATCGGGCACTGGAGCACGCACGAGCCGGAGTCGCAGAATCCAACTCCGGTGCCACACTGTCCAACAAAGTTACAGCAGCTGCCTTGGGGACACGCGACGCCTAGTATGCAATTGGTCTGAGCAACAATGCCAACCTCGGAGATTTTGGTACTAAGAATCCTGTGAGTTCCTCAACGTGGTGACAAATATTTGTTCGTTTTTTTTCTTCTTGATCACTCACAAGAATGTGTTTTCTTGTACTGTGTAGGCCCTTCTTTCAGTATGGAACCTTCGTGGTGATGTTCCATTTTCTTCGTTATGTCATGCAGCCAGCTTTACATTCTTGCACCAGGTGAGGACTCTTGCGATGGCTCTTAACCAAGTTTGCGCTTGGGCAGGGACATTGTCGTGACCATTTGCAGCGGCAGCTTGATTCCTCCCTCCCATACATGTAAGCAATGCACTTTTGGCACTACCAGCGTTGTTAACCGATTCGTGTTACTAGGAAAAGCTCGCACAGAGACTCCCGGAAAAGAGCCTAGAAAATGTAGTTCCAGTGCCGCAAAAAGACGGAAGTATGTTTGCAACGCTCCGTGTGGCATGGACATCACACTCGAAAGTCGGAGAATCGAGCTCCAGCAGTGCCGCATTGATGAAGTTACAGCGGGAGAACGGTATCGAGCTGAGTAGCAACGCCGCCATGAATCCACAGGTCGATGATGATCGTCGTCAGTGGTGGAACCATCTTCGTTTCGGCAAGAAGAGCGCTCGCCGAGAAAGATAGCATGGCTTATAGAACTTTTAAATCGGATAGCGCGGGAAGAGGAGGGGCTAAACCCTATTCGAGAATATGCTCGTAGTGTGTGGCTTTTTCTAGGTCACCCATGGAGGAGGCTGACTACGATGTGGAGATCGAGAATGGCGCGGGCGTGGAGATGGCGGTGGACGAGGATTTCGAGGATCTCTACGACGACGTGAATGTAGGGTTCTTCCCGGCGCCCGAGGAGCAGGAGCCTCCGCCCAAAGGTGAGCCCCAGCAGGAGGATCATCCGCCCCAGCAGCAGCCCCAGCCAAGCACCCAGCCGCAAGGAGGGTATGATTTCTACGATGACGATCCGATCAAGCAGCCGGAGCCCCAGAATGCGGTGGCGGCTCCATCGCAGATCAAGCAGCCGCCGCCGCAGGAAGCGAGGATTCCTTCGCCATCGCCAGTGAGTTTCAAGGCGGCGGCGGCGGCGGCGGCGGCGCCACAGCAAGAGCAGCAGCTAGATGAGCCCGCCGCGAGGCCGAATTTCGCCGCGCAAGCATCGGCAGCGCCAGTGCCGCCCCCTCGATCGTCGTCGGCCGCGTCTCAGGACGGGGGGAGGACTTCCATCGTCATATCCGAGCTCCAGTGGTGGACGACCGACGCGGAGCTGGAGGGCGCGCTCGCGGAGTTTGGCAAGATCAAAGGGATCAAGTTCTTCGAGGAGAGGGCCAGCGGCAAATCCAAGGGGCTCTGCCAGGTGGATTTCTTCGAGCCTCTCCCGGCGCAGCTGTGCAAGGAGAACTTACATGGCCGCGTTTTCAATGGGCGACCTTGCGTCGTCGCCTACGCTACTCCCCAGATTCTCAAGCAAATGAATATGAAGATGGGGCAAGGTGGTGGCGGCGGTGGCGGTGGTGGTGGTGGCGGCGGTGGCGGAGGCCCGCTCTCTAATCCTTCGCAGCCTGGTGGTGGTGGTGGTGGCTACAACGCTCCCAGCCAGCCAAATCAAATGGGAAAGAAGTCCTCATCGGGTAAGTCTTTAGTTTCGGTTTTTGTTTTCGTTCGTCTATCGCGGTTTCCTGGTACTCAGCTAGAAGTCCTTTCATTTTGTTCGCATCCTTGGCTCGGTTCCACAGTAGCAGTGTCTTTTACCTTCTAAGTTCTTGCCTTACCTCTAGATATTTCTGATCGTTTCTCTTGTGGTTCTCTCCATTTTTCTTACGCGTGTTAGTCTTTTCTCTCTTTCTCTTCTCTGTTCTGCTGTAAGTGAGCAGTTGCTTCCTTTAAGTTCGTGCGCTCTCTCTCTCTCTCTCTCTCTCTCTCGTGTGAAGTCTTGAGTCGAGTTAGCAGTGTCGCTTTTCTGTAGTTAGCTGCGACTTTTCTTTTTTCTTAATTCCAAGCTGCATTGCTATGCACCAGGCCGTGGGAGAGGACGAGGACGAGGAGGGGGAGGAGGCGACCAGTTTGGCCGAGGCGGAGGCAGCGACCAGTTCGGACAACTCCCCATGATGGGGGGCCCGTATGATCCCTCCTTCGGGCCCCCGATGCGGCCGGGCATGTACGGCATGGGTGGCTTCATGCGTGGGGGCTATCCAATGCCATTTCCTGGCGTTCCTCCTCACGTTAATCCAGCGTTTTTTGGCCGGGGGATGGGGAGTAGCGGGGGTGGCGACCACTCTCGGGGCTGGGGCGTTGGAATGCAGGGGTCCGGTTGGAACGGTGGCGAAGAAGGCGGCGAGAGGTTTGAGGAGGAGACAGGGGACGACGATGGTGGTGGTGGCGGTGGCGGCGGAGAAAGTGGCAAGCCGAGCTCGAGAGATCAAGATAGCCGGCGGCGGAAGGAGGACGATTCCAGGGACAGGAGCAGCAGGGACTCGAAAGATCGCGATTACAGGGACAGGGACAGGGACAGGGACAGGGAAAGAGAGAGAGAGCGGGGGTGGGACGAGGAGTCTTACAGCAACAAGAGGCGGCATTCAAGCAGGAGCGAGCACTGAAGTGACTCATTCTCAACTGCGTTTTTGGCAAGCGCGGTGAGTGAAGCTATTCAAGTTCATGTATTATTGTGAAGCTTTTTGACGTTGATCATTGAGTTTTCTCACTTGTCTTTCAAGATCACCGCACTAGAGCAGCCAACATGATGGAAAAACAGAGGATAAATCAAAGCTTTGCATGCAAAACAGTCACTTATTTCTTCTTTTTAATAAAGCTAGTTGGATAGGAAAAGATTAGGTTTTGCTTTTCTTCTTCCAACGCTTTCGATTCAGGTATGGTTGCTCCCCAATTCAGCACATCTCCTTTTTTCTCTTTTTTCTTGCAGGTATGTGTTTGCTCCCAATTTGATTTCCATCACATTTCCTGTTTTTTTTTTTTTCTTGCAGGGTTTATTCTTATGCACTGACTAGCCTGGAAGAAGGCTAGTCCGTGCCAAAATTTTGACAACCACGGCTTCAATTGAGCTTTTGAGTCGACACCCCATCATTTGTTATGGACACAGTGTTTCCAGTTGTAAGACTCTACTGAGTTCCCTCTCTTGCCACGGTGGTCGAGGGGCTAGCCCCTCGGAAGGAGGACATCCTTCAGATCTTACCTTTCTTGCTGGTGGTGGCCTTCTTCTCGGAGCACCATAGTGGGGGTTTCAATCTTATTGGCTAAAGATGCTGGCTATTAAGCGAGTTCCTACAGTTGTATCTGTGAACCAAGATTGTGGTTCTGTCAGCCGTGACTGCCTTCAAAGCTGCTTTCTCACAGGTTTGTTTTTTTTAATATTGTTTTTCCCTTTTATTTCAATTTTTAATGTTCTATTCTATGTTATTAGGATTTGATCTTCCTTTGTTTAAGTATACGAAGAAGATGAAGACAACTGAGCTGCAGCTGCTTGGGGATGAAGAAGTTCCATCATCACCACCAACAATTGAAAGATCATTTCTAGGCACATTATTATTGTCCAAGGTATGTGAATATATCTTTCATAAACTAGGAAGATCTAAAATTGAATTTGATAGTGGGAGGAGCGTGCATCTCAGGGATTATTTCGATACGATGTTACAGCTTGTGAGTCTCGGGTGAGTATAGCGTTGTGAAGAGTATAAGTATTTTATTTATCTGCTATTTTCCTAGGTCCTCTCTGGAAATTATGGATTTATTGCACAGCTCAACGAGGGTCGTCATTTGAAAAAGCGACTAACAGAATTTCGAGTGGATCAAGTTCTTCAAGAATTTGATCCCAAAAAATTCAACTTTTCTAAAGTTAATCGCAACGAGGTACTATTTCAATTTGGAGAAGGTGAGGAAGCTGGGTATTATGATATTACTCCTATCCTATCATCACCTGATATCGTGCTTATAAACGTAAGTTTTAATAGATTGTTATAAAACATTACTAATCATATATTATAAATTTCCAGGTAAGTCCTATTGAGTATGGACATGTTTTACTTGTACCTCGTCTTTTCGATTTTGTTCCTCAACGACTCTGTGCAAATGATCTTTTATTGGCTCTTTATTTTACTGCGGAGGTGGATTGTCCATACTTTCGAGTTGGATATAATAGTCTTGGTGCTTTTGCAACTATAAATCACCTTCACTTTCAGGTATAATAATTTTCAAAAGGTTAAATTTATAAGATTGATTTACAGGCTTACTATCTTGCATACCCATTTCCTGTGGAGTGTGCATCTATTACACGAATTAACAAAGGGAGTCTTAAATCTTCCTTGAGGATATCTGAATTGGTTGATTATCCTGTTAAAGGAGTTGTTTATGAAAGTATGGATCTAAACGAGATTGCAATATCAGTTGCAAGTACGTGTCAGGAATTGGAGCTCCGAAATATACCCTTCAATCTATTGATATGTGACTGTGGAACACGGGTCTTCTTATTTCCACAGGTATGAAGTTTAAAAGTTAGTCTTTTTTAACATATACTTCAGTGTTTTGCACGAAAGCAAGCGTTACACCAAGTTTCCCAGAAGGTTTTGGACACTCAAGTCAATCCAGCGGCCTGGGAAATTGGCGGGCATATTGTGCTGAAGAGGAAAGAAGACTACGAGCATGCAACAGAAGAATTCGTCACCGCTTTACTCGCTGAAGTTTCTCTTTCAGATCCTGACTTTCAGGACGTGAAAAATATTATATGCAAATAATTTGTCTATTAATCTTGATCTTCCCCTTCATCGTCAGAGAACTTTCGGACAACTTGGAACCCGCTGCTCCTACGCTTTCCATACCTGTTGAGTGTTTCTGGAATATCAATGTCTTCAATCTCTTTCTCAGATAAAACATCTCTCCACGTTATTCTTCGGGGTGGTGGTTCGGATTCCATAGAGCTCTCCAACTTGACTGTCCTGTTGTGAGATAGCTGCCTTGCCTGCTCCACTTGCTGCATTATTGCTTGCGGGAGTGACACAGCTCGGACAGTCAAGCTCCGTGTAACTTGCTCCACAACTCTCCTAGACGCCTTCTTCAGGACACCGCTCCGCCAGCCATGCTCCATCTCTTGTATAATCTCGTGATCCCGTGGGAAGAAATGCCTCCGAAAGACGGACATGATCATATCCGGTAGCAATGCTGTTCCACAGCCAAGAAGAAGAACGAACCAAAACTTTACGCTGCCAACCAGCTCTGAACCAATGCCACTCAACTCTGGAAAGGCTTGCCATCTCCGCCAGAAGAAGGAGAGCACGAACGCAAACAGGAGCCATAAACCGATTGAAACACCCCAGAGAACTGCGTGTGAGACCCATGGGAAGAAGTTCATGCGCGTCGCTAGCTTTATGTTAACAATAAACACCGCCATTGAGTAAGAGGTTGTCCCAATGTTTGCAAGCCCCCCTCGCCTGCCTTTCCTGCTAGAAAACCGACATTGTGAGCTAAAGAAATAAAAATAAATAAATAAATAAATAATCGGTGCACTGACCCGAGAGGAATCCCTGAGCTCGGGTAGAAGAAAACTATCAACGAGTGCCAAAGCGCCGCAATAAACCAGAGGCAGAAACTTCTGAAAAACTTCCACGTTCGATCCTTTTGAGTTTCGTGATAAAGTTGAGGATTGTTCAGTATCGTTGTCTCGCAAATATCCTTGTTGAGGATTGCGTATGCGATTGTCGGCAGAGACGTCCAAAACAAGTTGTACGTCGATATGAGGAATATGTTGTAAAGAGGTTGGCCCGAATAGCCGGAGTAGAATGCTATATAGCAGTTGCCAGCAACGTATACAATATTCTTGTAGAAAGCATACATGATTGAGTCGCGGTTACGTTTGTAAGACCTGTGAAAACGTGTTTTTCTAACGAAAATGACAGCATGAGCTTACCAGCGACCATGAACGAGCAGCAGCCTTGCAAGGTAGCGAAACTGGGCAATAGCGTAGTTACTTGCATAAACAGCGGTCATAACTTGCCGGCCACAAATGCCTACGCCTATATCAGCCTCTTGAAGCATGGCCATGTCGTTCGCGCCATCTCCAATAGCCAATGTTACAGCCCCGTGCTCCCGTAAGATTTTTACAACCTTCAGGAGAAAAACGAAAAAGAGAAAGAAAAATGATTTAGAACCACAGAAAGCTTGGAAAACTAAAATACCTTTGCTTTCTGGATTGGGCTAACACGACAGCAAATGACTGTCCGGCATAATTGGCACAACTCCAGAAAGACCAGCTTGTTATCTTCTTCCAGAGCTACAGCCAACGAATCGCCTTCAATCACTACTGCCATGTATGTACTATCTGAAGCAGAGAGAGAACAATGAGGCTATGTAGCAAGGCTCTCCAACGTACTCACCCACTGCCTGCGTGTTTTTTTGAGCTTCTTCCAACATATTAGTCAGCATTTGCGGAATGGATTTGCAGCATTTCTCAGATAAGAGAAACATGTGTATGGATTCCACCAGCAAGTTGGACGTGAGACCGATGGAAACTGCCGTTTCGAGCTTGTCGCCAGTAAGCACCTGCATGAATCGTTCTTCGCCATCTGCTACTTCTTACAAGAAATCACTTACCCATATCTTAATCCCAGAATGAGCAAGAAGTGTCACAGTTTCAGAGACTCCGTCCTGAAGTTTATCTTCCACAGCGGTAACACCCAAAAGGACCTGTCTGCCATAATAATAATAAAACTATCACGACAAATCCATGTCCAAAGAATGTACCAATTCGCGCTCAATAGAGTCTGCAAGTAACGCAAGTTTTTCTTCTCGTTCGTCCAGGGCTACACTGGCTGCGAGAAAACGTGCTGCCCAGTGGTCGTACTCTGAATGGTCCAGCTGTGGTGGAAACACTATCACATCAGTAGTCCAAATGTGCACAGATGTACCTCGCGCTGTGCAATACAAAGGGTTCGATAACCAGAACACGCGAATTTCTCCAAATGCTCTACCGTGGTTTCAATCGAAGCATCCTGGTTCTTCGACAGTCTTTTCATTATGACTGTGTCGGCACCTTTGCAAAACAGTTTAATCCTGAGACAACAAGACCATGTCAGTTGACGAAACAGAAAAATAATATTAATTCTTTTACCTCCCACTGGAGTCTTTGCAGATTATGCTCATTCGTTTCCTGTCACTCGTAAACTCTAAGACTGCCAAAACGGTTTGCTTTTCAAAACCGGTATCCTGCACACACGGAAGATCTTATACACGAAGATATGCAAATGAGCTTACAGAATTTACCTCACAACTAACAACAATTTCATTTGGCGTTCGATCCAAAAGGCGATATCCGCATACAGCTGCTCCCTGCATCTTACAACTATTAGAAGCCCTGAAATATATTCTTTTGCGGAACCACACATTCACAAGAGCTTCTTCGTCTGGTGATGCAGCCTGGTATATGATACCGCCGGAGCCAGAATCACCTTCAGGGACAGCTTGATGGCAAATAGCAAGATGTAGAAAAAACAGTCTGCATTGCAGGCCATGATGGTTCTCCTGGTGAAGAGCTTCTTGAAGATTATAATCTCGAGCAACAGTATGTATTGCTTGACGTGGATCTGTAACAGGCTCGTCCTCATCAATTGAATCTCCATATATAACGCCACCAATAGAACACCGCACGAAAGCCATGACGTTCTGAGTTAATGTGCCGGTTTTATCAGACAGAACGTAATCTACCTGCACCAGTCAGTGAAATGCAATGCAATCTGAAATATGGTAGCAATTCTGTACCTGACCAAGCTCTTCAACAAGGTTCATAGTTCGTGTTTGGGCTGGATTGTCCGATTGCTCATGATACATGTGTATGTCCTTCTGGA